TTTATTTTCTTTTATCTGGCAAGATCAGTTATGGGGGATTCAACGATCTATTTTAGTATAGGTTTTATGTCTTTTGATATTACTAAAACAGTTAAGAAAAATGAAATCTGGTTCGAGTTAGTGGAGAGAAGCAAAAACTTGATGTGGCGAGTTACTTTTAGTGCCAAGGTGATGCAGTGGATTGTGGGGTTCTTTATAAGGCTTCAAAGGTTCAAGGTGCAGCAGTAATAAGATGGAAGATGAAAGATTACTTTAGAGACATTTTCTGCACACTTTAAGACAAACATATATGGGAGATATATTTGCATTGTGGCAATTTAGGATGAGCACAGATCTATACTGATCATTCCAGAAACAACATTCAATGCAAGGTGGAGACTTATTGCAGTTAAGGTTGGAAGATTCATTAATGCAGAAAGGTTGAAGTCAGAATCATTCCCTCATTAACTAAAGATCCCAACACATTTTATTTAAAATCACTCAAGCAAAACAGATGGACAACAAAAGGAACTCATGAGTCGCCCGTAGAAACTTCAAGTTTGAGAATCATTATTTAGGGGGGTGCTGAAGTGGCTGGTGATGATCTTTTGGTAAGATGTATTGTTGGAATGTTCAAGATTGGTTTGTAAGAGATCCCAACTCTAAATGAGGTCCGACGATGGGCATGTTCCCAATGAAAAGCGTCACATAGTCTGAATGTCTATGCAATGAATGGTTTCACGTATCTCTTTGAATTGCCATCAAGGAAGATAGTTGAGCAGATCATCACGGGAAAATGAAGATGGAAGAAATCCAAATTTTATCTTCAATGATGGTCTCCTAATGCAGGTTGTTGACCAGCAAATGTAAATAGAGATTGGGTTTGGATTCGATTAATAGGTCTGCCACTTAATCTATGGTCGCATAAAGTGTTCAATATTTTTGCGGAGGTTGGATCGAGAATGAAGAAGAAACTTATATGAAAAATTATCTGAGATGGGCTAGGGTTAAGGTAAAAGGAGATTGAGATAATATACCTAAAGAAGTGAAAGTTGAGTTCAGTGATGTAGTCTACAAAATTCCTATCTGGTGTAAAGTTTCGGCACTGGTGGTCATCAGAGATGAAACTGGTTTGGTGATCAAAGCTCATAAAGCCTATATTATAGAGGGAGATGTGACAGAACAGGTGGCACAGGCTGGATTTTGTACTACACACGCGGGCTCATCGTCTTCTATTCCAGATTCAACTAAAGACTCACGTGCGCTTGACTAGAGCCTCTTTACCACTTTTGGGCTAGTCCATCATGCAAACAGTGCCCAACAAGGATATTATTAAGGGGCCTATTTCCCAGGAGCTTTTTACACTAATATCTCCAGCCCATTCAATTCCAATTGAGTCTGCTAAAACATATACGCTACTTTTGAAAATTTAGGCGAATAGAACAATGAAAGATTTGTTCTCAAAAGAAATTGATGAAGGAATAGAAGCTCAGAGACTACAACTTGAAGGGTATGAACAACAACAAAGGCAAGTCTGTCTCTGTCCCAAGAACAAGATATGCAATTGGTAGAAGTGGTTGGAGAAACATTATGGGTGTGTGAAGATGCCGAACCTATTGATGCGCGGGCAGAAGAAGCAGATATGAAGGCAACTATTTGGGTTCACAGCGACATAATCAGATTCACTAATAAATTTAGTGTAGATTTCTAGGGCTGTGAAAAAGGAGGCATTGGCTTTATTTATGAAGATTGACAACAGGAGGAAGCAAAACAAACCAGTAGATGAAAAGGTCATTACTGCAACACCAAAGTTCAAGGGAATACACGAAGTGAAGGGGCTAGTTTTTGACATGAAATTCAAAGAGGGTGGGTCGAGGTGCAGAAGTAGGGGAAGGGTTACAATTGAAGATAATCCATGAATCTCAAAATTCTTTCATGGAACGTGAGGGGTTTAAATAAGAAGGACAAAAGAACTATGGTGAATAGTCTAATTCACAAGTGGAAAGCAGATATGTATATTGCTTCCAAGAAACAAAGTTAGAAGGAGAAGTAGCAGAGATGGTGAAACAAATCTGGCCTAACAAGCGTGTTAGGTTTGGTTGTTTGGAGGTTAGTGGTACGAGGGGAGGTATAATTATATTGTGGGATAGTAGAGTTTGGAAAGGAGAGGTAGTAAAATTGGAGCTCACTCTTTGACATGTTATTTTGAGGCTCGAAGTCAGAACTTTACATGGAACCTAACAGGGATTTATGGGTCAAACACTAGAAAGGGAAAAAAAGAGTTATGGGAGGAAGTAGGGTCTTCTAGGGAACTTTTTGATGGACCTTGGGTAGTATGTGGAGATTTCAACACTACTCGTTTCACTTCAGATAAGAAGGACAATGATAGACTGACAAGAGCTATGACTAATTTCTCAACTTTTATTGAAGACTTGGAGCTTATTGATCCTCCCCTATCTGGAGAAAATCTTACTTGGGCTAGGAGTTACAGACATGAAATTTCCAACAGGTTGGAAAGATTCCTTATATCAACAGAATAGAATGAGGAATTCATAAATATAAAACAATCAGTGCTTCCAAGAGTTACTTCAGATCATATTCCTATTGAACTACTATGTGGAAATTCGGAGCTAACAAATCATACTTCAAGTTTGAGAATTGGTGGCCGCAAGTGGAGGGTTTTCATGAGTTGGTGAAGAACTGGTGGGATTCTTTTGATTTTGCAGGTAGACCAGATTACATATTGGCTAGCAAACTAAAATCTCTGAAAAATAAGCTTAAGAATTAGAATAAACTTTGTACGCGGAGTTTGGAGAGGCAAAAGAATAACATCCTGGCCCAAATTTCAGATTTGAATAGGGTACACGATGAAAGAATTTTGTCTAAGGATGAATTTTTACTGAAATCCAATCTATGTATGAATTTTGAGAAGCTAGCAAAAAATAAAGAAATATAATGGAAACGGAGGTCTATGGCTATATGGCTGAAGAAGGGGGATAAAAACACTAAGTTCTTTCAAAAAACTGCTAATGCACACCTAAGATTTAACTATATTGATCAGCTACTTATTGATGGGAAAACTGTGAAGGAACCTGCAGATATCAAGAGGCATATATTGTCCCTTTATCATAAGTTTTACACTGAAACAGAGCTATGGAGGCCTAGTCTCAACATCAGCAATCGTCCCAGGTTATCCGAAGATGAAAAGCTAAGGTCGCAAAGGCCATTTGAGGAGAAGGAGGTTTTGCATATCATCAAGCAAAGTTCTATTGATAAGGGCCCAGGTTCCGATGGCTATACGATGGGTTTTTTCAGTACATGTTGGGAGATAATTAAGGGGGATATTATGAACATTGTCCATAACTTTCACCCTAGGGAACTTCTTGAAAAAAGGTTTTAATGCTACCTATGTAGCTTTGATCCCAAAGAAGAATGGAGCAAAGGAACTGAAGGACTTTAGACCTATCAGGTTGATAGGTCAATCTACAACATCATTTCTAAGTTGCTAACAGAGAGATTAAAGGAGGTAATATTTAAGCTGGTGAATAAACAACTGATGGCTTTTATAAAGGCCAGAGAAATTATGGATGCAGTTTTGATTGCGAATGAGTATGTGGACTCTAGATTAAAAGAAAAGGTGCATGGGATCTTATGCAAATTAGATATAGAAAAAGCTTTCGACCATATCAATTGGGGATTCCCTCTGAAGCAGTTGGAAAATATGGAATTTGGAAGGAAATGAATAAACTAAATAAAATTTTGCATCAAAAATGTCAGGTTCTCTATTCTTATAAATGATTCACCGTAAGGCTTTTTTCCATCGTATAGGGGTCTAAGGCAAGGTGACCCCTTATCCCCTTTCCTGTTCAGCTTGGTTATGGAAGGACTCAATAACATGATACAAGTAGCAAAATAAAACAAATGGACTAGGAGATTTAAATTGCTTAACAGACGTGACTCAGGCCTGGAGATCACACATTTGCTTTATGCAAATGACTCACTTATACTATGTGAAGCTAAAGGAAGATCAACCGAGGATGATCAGAATGATTCTCACTATATTTGAAGGAATTTCTTGCATACATATTAACAGGAGCAAAAGCTTGTTATTTTCTGTCAATCTAATCCTTGATATGGAGAGCCTGGCACAAATTCTAGAGGCCAAAGTAGGTAATCTACCGACAACATACATGGAAATGCCTATGGGAGCAAAAATCAAATCTCTGGAGATCTGGAATGGCATTTTGGAGAGGTGTGAGAAAAAGCTTATAAAATGGAGAAATCAATATCTATCCTTGGGAGGTATATTAACCTTGATCAATAGTGTGTTTATATCCTTTTCCTACATATATGATATCTTTGTTCTCAATTCCTACAAAGGTAGAAAAGAGATTAGACAAATTAAGAAGTAGCTTTCTATGGCATGGGAATAAGGAAAAAGAAGGTTTCAATCTAGTTAGATGGAAAACTGTCACATTATGTAAGAAGTATGAAGGTCTTGGTATTAGGAATCTGAGGAAACACAATCAGAGTCTTCTCATGAAATGGTTATTGAGATTTACCACAGAAGAAAATACACTTTGGAGATAAGTAATTAGCGGCAAGTATGGGAGGAGGGGCTATAGACAACTAAAAAGATAACTACTCCTTATGGGGTGGGGTGTGGAGATTTATTAGGAACCTATGGCCCGTCTTCAACAATGATAATGGTTTTAGGGTGGGGAATGGTATGAAGGTCTTATTCTAAGAGGATAATTAGTTGGGACAGAGAGCTTTAAAGATATTTTTTCCAAATATTTATATCGTAAGTCAATAACATGGATGTAAAATTAGAGAAGTTTGGACTCATCAGGGATGGGACCTAACTTTCAGAAGATTTTTAAATGATTGAAAAATTATGAAAATTACTAATTTCTATAAAGTGCTTGGATAGTTCAAGGGCACAAAACAAAAGGAAGGCAGATTATGGAGGCAAGACAACAATTAGGGAATCTTCAGAGTCAAAGCTATCTATGGGACTATCAATAAAGCTCCCATTCAGCTAGAACCGTGGCTATTAAAATATATATGGAAAGTTAAAATCCCATACAATGTGGCAGTGATAAAAGAGGCTAGTTTAACTAAAGAAAATCTGATGAAAAGAGGCTTTCTATTGTGTTCTAGATGCCATCTATGTGGCAGGAGGGCTGAGACCAACTGTAATCTATTTTTGCATTGTGAGGTTACCTCACATATCTCGAACATTTTATTGTGTATGAAAGGTTTCTCTTGGGCAATGCAAAAAAGCTCCTTGGAATTGCTTAAATGCTGGAACATGCCGAAAAGCAGATAGAAGATGATACCACCATGCATTTTGTTGACTATCTGGACATAAAGAAATCTAAGATGTTTTGATGGTACAGACATCCCAATTCAGAAGATCAAGATGAATGCCCTTTTTGTTTTTGGTGTAAAGACAAATTTACAGTCAATACTGAATCTATTCTAGAGATTTTAGATCCCTAGTAAGTTGTATAGGTATTTTTTTCCTCGTTTCTTCCGCTTTCTCTCCTTTAAATATGGCTTTGGCACATCTTTAGTTCTCTGATATATGAAAATTCTTACCATTCTCAAAAAGTGAAGTGTTACGTGTGTCTAAAGGGTTAGGACCTTGTCTACTAGAATCCTAGTGGTGCAATGAGGAGGTGACAATGAGTTATTAGAGCTAAAAGAGAGTGCTATATGAATTATCAAAAGAAGAAGATAGAGAAGACTTTGAAGAGTATAAAAGTGCTAAGACAGAAGTTATAAAGGCTATGAATAATGCTCGAGGGGAAGCCTTAGATGATATTTAAGTGGAAAAAGACGGAACCTAGTATTTAAGTGATGTTTAATTTAAGTGGACAAGGATAGAGTGCCAGGCTATTATCCACCGAGATCTGAATCGTGCGCCACTGGTTCTCGAGGTAAAAACTTACCCGCACCAAAGTGACAAATGTCATTTGTTTATTAGTTAGATGCAAGCATCCAGTGCGAGTAAGTTTTTACCCCTAATATGGGAAGTTTCCAAAACTACATTGATTTGTGAACCACTTATGCTTATGATTGACTTTGTTGAAAATGCTTTTCTATTCCAAAGAAGGGAAAAAGACCAAAAATACCCCTCTACTATGTGAAAAAGATCATATATACTCTCTGTTATATTATCCGTTCATCACAGCTCCCAAAATTACAGAGTTGGTACAAATATACCCTCCACTGTTAGGGCCCTCCACCATGGCTAACACCCTCCCAAGTGGCCTAAGATGATATGCCACCTCATCAGCCTTTAGTACTGCTGGACGCATACTTGATCCATTTAGGAGTTCATTGTCTCCTAGATTGGTTCAAGCTCCTGTATGTGTCCAAGAATGGCTTCGAAATGAATCAACAACTCCGGTTAAAATTGAAGAAGATTTAGATAATCTTGAACAACTTGAAGCTGGTAAGACTATCTTATTTCTTCTATTACTTTACTTGTGTTTAATGTATACTTATTTTATGTTTCTTTAGATCATTTTTAAACTAATTTCTTCTATTACTATCTTATTCTACAGACTTTATTAATACCGGAAGAGAGCCTTGCATCGTCGAAATATAGCGATGAAGATTACTGTTTGCTATTGCCGGTATATTTCTTTCTATTTTTGTGTGCATCTTGTATAAGCATTCCATCTTGTCTACTGGTCTAAAGAAACTAACAGAATCTTGTCCATATTATCTTCACTGCCTTATTCGTCAAATGTCAATGATATATGGCTTATCAATGTTCTATGGCAGTGTCTTTGAACAAAGTTTAATTTCTTCGACTTTGATCCCTACGGATAGTGGTGCATCTGCAGTTTGTCCCTGAATTAAGGTAGTCATCAAGCATTTGTAAAGGCTGGAAAACTGTTAATTGGTTGAATGTTCTTATTTCTTTGTGTGTATGTGGATAGGATTGATCGTGTTATTGCTGACTGATTATATTAGATGTAATGATTTATATTGATTGGATATAACTGATGATAATGTGCTTTAGAAATGCTCTTGATGAATGCAATAAAGGGCTCACTGGAGTAGTTAATATCTTATGAAATGCAGTGTTGCAGTGTTGTCAAATCTGATATCTGATATCCTCTCATTTTTGTCAAATGCAGTGTTGCTGAACTTGAAAGCAAGCCAAGATTGAGTGGGATGGCCATAGAAGTTGGAACTTGGAACTCTTTTGTATAATCTATTAATGAATTCTTGTTGAGGATTTCAGTTTATTAGACATCTATTTGGGATTTCAGTTAATTTTATTTTGCTATGAAGATTGTGTTTTGTTTATGTAATGGATTCTACCACAAGAATTGGGATTTGGAGCTTTCCTTTTCTTCTATGGATGCTATGATGTTCTTTATGGGAAAAACCAGTACTTCTTTTACTTCTTCCTCCAAGTTATTACCTTTACAGTTGCTGGATTGGGCTATATTGGCACCATAGTCCCCTCATAATTGCAGAAACATAATTTTTTCTTGCTGTATTGCCTCTTCTACAAAGAAAATATTAGTATGAGTTTTGCAACTTAGAGGCATAACAACTCGAACCTCCAGAGATGTTTGTATTAGTATAGAACAGAGAAGAAGCGGATAAAGCAGATGCATTAGCCGATTAGATTAGCAATAGCCTTAATAATGCGTACAATCTGATCCGAAAATCCGAAATATTTATCCAATCCAAACTTTAAAATCCGATCTGATCCGATATTAATTCGGATTGGATTCGGATTGCATTTTGTAGAATCTAAAATCCGAAATTTCAATCCGAAATATGCTAAATCCGATGCGATCCGATGCGATCCATGCACAGCCCTAACAGACACACACTTTTTCCTCCAACACTTCTTCCCCCTTCACCTAACCATCTTCTACTCTGAAAATCTTTTACTTATCTATCAAGATTGCTTTTCCATCTTCTCCGGAAGTGAAATTTAATTGCAAATTGATTCCCATTTCGCAATGCGTGTTTCAGTCCCAGAATCCCATTTTGCTTCGTCTTGTAATTATAGTATTTTTTATTTTTTGTTGTTATTTTATTTAAATTCTTGCTGCTTCTCCTGATATTGCGTTGAGACTACGATTTGGTATGAGAAGGGATAGTTTGCCAAAATGGTTGGCTACTTAGAGCTGCCTCTTCAGTCACATTACTTAATTCAAATTGACGATACTTTGAGGCATGACAAACTTATGACTGATACCTACTTGCTATTTTGTTTTTTTGGTCTTTGATTTGGATGAGTAAAACTTTTTATGATGATTCCTTAGAGCTATATGATTAGACCTACTCAGTGCTCATCCAAAAGAAAAAAAGGACTTATATATACTCAATTTGTTTTTTATGGGGTAGTTCAAATGTAAAATCCTTCTTATATGTTCATCAGTCTCAAACATGGCACAAACAAGTTGTAGGAACAAATTGGAGCTTCTATTTTACTTGTCCCTGCTGCTTGAATGGCGACAATAGCTTCGGGTGCTTTTTGTTACTTTGGAAGAGCTGGTTCCATGTTGCCGCACTTTAGACATGGGGTCTCTCGTCTAGTAACTGGAACGTGGGTAATGAGTCTTCGATTCAATGATAAATATTTATTTCATTCTAGCACTTATTTCTCTGCCTTGCCAGTCCTGAAACTCTTTTTTTATTCTGTTATAGTCTTTGATTGACTTGCCGGCCTATGTTCGCGATTGTGGTTTGTTGGGGGAGGGGAGGATTTGGAGATAAAATGGAATGAGGTAAAATGGGATTGAGGGGGTGAGGTAGCACGCCACATGGGCGTCCATCTCAGTGAAATGTCAGGCCACATAGGATGGTGTTGGCCATGGTAGAGGGCCCTAACGGCATAGGGGTATTTTTGTATCAGTTCTGTAACTAGAAAGTTATGGTGGACGGATAGTATAACAGAGGATATAACTAATCGTTTTCACATAGCAGAGGGATATTTTTGACATGTTTCCGTGCAAAGAACTAAATTTGCAGTTAGAGTTTATCCAAGGCAATAAGACACTAGCTGAATCCATAAATTGCCAATCCTTTAGATTTCTGATTCAGAACATATAATTTAGATCAACAATAGATGTAAATGACTTGATCATATTTCTACCTAGCAGCTAGTTAGAATTGTGTAGCAGCCAACTGCAATATCTATTTAACCTAAAAACGATAACAATTAAATTTATATGTGATTTTAAAGATATGCGGATTAATTCAATACAAATGATAAAAAGTGTTAGATTAAACAGATAAAGGGCGTGATAAATTGTCAAACCCACTAAGATGAATGACCCCGGACTGAGTAACAGCTTAATTAAATGCCTGCCTTCGATCTCGGGCTCACGATAACGAAGAACTGATGGACAAAAGTAAGAACTTTGAATAACAGAGAAAATAAGAGTATATTGTCATGATATGTGTGTTACAATGTGTCTAATGAATAGTTAGACTCCCCTTTATATAGTAGGGGAGTTTTACCCTAAGTACAATTCCATAAAAGGTAAAAATATTCCATTTTGCTAATCACAGATTTTCTGCCGATACGTGCCGAGATTCACGCCGTGACATCCGGCTAGGCGTGGATATCACGGCCCTTTGCTAGTCATACTCTATTATCTGGTAATGCTCTTCGAAGTTTTGGGATTCGAATCAGACCTGGGGGACGTGGCCCTGATTATTTCGAGGGCAGGTGTTTTGCCCGGACCCCGAGTCGAGGGGCTCCTTGCCCCGATTCTGGTTCCTTACGATCATGTCTTTGCTCTGTTTCCTCCATCAAGAACCAAGGTGTCCAATGGGCTCGATTTCATCCGTATACAGATAGTCCCCTCGTTTCTCGTAGATTAAGTTTACTGAAATGACGAGAAACGACATATGCACTTCGATCCCTTCTTTAATACTCCGTGACAAAAATGACAAAGACTCTAAAACATCCCGTTAGTCGTGTCGTTATGATTTCAAATACGCGTCAGCCATCGCCAGGTCATCCCTGAATACGAAACAGCACGAAACCTTTATAAATACTTTCATCCTTTGTTCATTTTTTACCTTTTGGCCAAGCTTCTACCTTCGAATTTTCTCATGTCTTCTTTCTTTTACCCTTTCGCAGGGCTCGGTACTCCATCACAAAAGCTTTCTTCGGTATCTGACCAAGGTTAACCAGCTCGAGGCTGAGATCAAGGAGCTTGATGAGAAAAGAGACATGTATAAGCTTCTCAACGAGAAACATGAAGGGGTCGTCAAGAATCTCCAGGCCGAGCTAGATGCGGCTCAGAAGAAGCATGCCGACTTGGTCGAAAAGGTAAAGTTTTTCAAAGTTAGTAATGAAGACTTAGCCATGGTGACTAATGACCAAACCTTGCAGGTTCAGTAGAAGATTGATCGGATCGATCAACTTTGAGCTGAAATGAATGAGGCCCACCATGGCCGATGTTTGGAAGGGCAAAATGGATCGGCTGGCTTCGGAGAAGGAGACCGCCCAGGCACAACTGGCATCGATAGAAGTTCAACTCTGGGTGGCAAAATAGAAAGCCGATAAGCGAGCCCAGCTCAACAAGGAACTCCGAGCTCAACTGAACTCGGCCATGGCAGAGCGGGATGCCCTCGACAGTGAATGTGAAGCTGTAAAGGCTCAGATGCGCACAACCTCCGGGCATGCTGAGGAGATGGTGGCCCAGTATAAGGCCGATGTCGAGGCATCTGAGGCCCGCCTGAAAGCCACTGTTGAGTACGTGAAACGGTTGTCTCGAAGGGAAACTCACGAAGAGATCCATGCCCGAGTCTTTGACCTATTTGTCGAGATCAAGGACGTGAAAAGGCTCAAGGTCGAGGCCAAGAAGCTGGCTGAACCCGAGGATGAAGAAGGCTCTAACGAACCTGAAGATGAAGAAGACCCTGACGGCTCTGGTGACGAGGTGGGTTCTGGTGAAGAACAGAGGTAGGTGTCTCAGGAACTTTTGTCTTTGTTTTTGCATTTTGTACATTTATTTTGTTGAGGCCGTTTTCATTGGCCTTTGTAAAGACATTCTGGAATGCATATATAAAGTTTTTTCCCTTTTGGCAATCTTCAAGTCTATTACCTTTAGCATACTTTTTACAATTGCAAAGATTTCAAATGCCTTAGCACGGAATAAAACATAGTAATAAGTTATTTTTCGGAGGTCCGAACAAGACTTGTCGTCGATGCAAGTATTGCTTGAAACTTATGGGGGCTCGGAGTGACCAGAAATTTTCCCCAAGATGCTTGTTTAAATGTTTTTAGACTATAATTTTGCCGAGGGTAACATTTGAACAGGTTTGGAATTTTGTTGATGGCCTTATGTTTTGATTACGGGCTTCGGATATCTCCGAACTATTTTTAGGGTGGTCGTAGCCTTTTAGGTTAGGGCACTTCCTAATAGGTTTTGTGCCTCCGAGTTTCGATAACCCGAGCCAACTAAACTTATCCAGGACGGCAGTCCCCTAGTGGGGGTAGCCCTTTGGGCTCAGATAGGGGTGGCCCTTGGGCTCGATAGTTCTCGGGTAGGATTAGCCCTTAGGCTCGATACTTTTAAGAAGCAAAAAATGTTTGTTAGCAAAGTAAAAACTTTCTTTCATTTCTGCGCGTAACATACAAGATTGTGTAAAAGCTCGTATTGCAGCTGGTGTGACCTACTCGGGCACGATTAATTTGACCGTTTGGCCCTTACATTGAATCCTAACCACCGAGCCTAGACTGTTCGAGCACAGAGTTTCCTTCCTTGCTAAAAATCTTGACTCGAGGGTGATGGCCCCCAGTATTCGGGGTCGATCTTTGAGTGGACTCAGATATTGTTGATGCGACCATTGACTCCGATTTAAAACAGGTCTTCGACTCTAAGTTAGCACGATTTATTGTTGCCCCGTTAAAAACCTTGCTGGAAAACCCATTTGGGACAAAACCGGTTCAAGGAACAAAGAGTGCAACGCGTGCTTTCAGGCCTAATCAGCTACATTATCCTTCGGCATTTGCCTGCAAGTGTTAGCCAAAATAAAAGAAAATGAATGAGGGCGTACCTTAGTAGTAGTATCATTTTAAGTGGGCCACGTTCCAGTTGTTTGGTAGCTGTGTGCCGTTTCCCGCTTCGAGTTTGTATGAACCTTTACCAGTAATCCCGATGACTCAATGCGGACCTTCCCAGTTTGGTCCTAGCTTCCCTTCATTTGGGTTTCGGGTGTTCTGTGTTACTCTTCTTAATACCAAGTCCCCAATGTTGAAATGTCAGAGGTTGGCTCTTCGATTGTAATATCTTTCTATCCGCTATTTTTGGGTGGCCAGCCGGACTAGAGTGGCCTCGCATCTCTCATCCAGTAGTTCTAGCCTCATGCTTATGGCC